AAACTAGAAGTATGATTTTCATAAACATATAACAAGTTGGACGGTAGAGATGCTGCACAATCTATAGAATTTTTAACTAGTATATACAGCATGGCCACAGATAAAGAAATCGGTCTGACCTTAAGAGAATCCATGTCAAACTGCTGGACTAACAACAGAAAAATAATATCTATACAACTTAAAGTGAAAATGTTTTAAGCATTTACGATGCATTACTCTTCAAACTAGAATTATGATTATCGTAAACAGGTGACCATATTATAGATAAATATTTCTTTCACTCCTAATAACAAGTTAAAAGGGTAGAGATATTGCACAGTCTATAAAATTAACAGCATGCCAACAGATAAACAAATCGGTCTGACCTTATAAGAATCCATGTAAAACTGTTAGAGTAACAACAGAATGATAATATCCATACAACTTAAAGTGAAAATATTTTAAGCATTTACGCTGGACACTCTTCGAACTAGAAGAGTTTAACTTTCGTAAACAGGTGACCATATTATAGATGAATATGCACAGACCTCGCCAGCTTTTAATACATTCAATAAATCTAACATCAGTGTCAAACACAATGCCCAGATCTCTGAACGTATCACACCTCTCAAGGCTAGTGTACGAGGTGTGTTCAAAAAGTAAGCTGAATTTTAGGTTTTATGAAGAAATATTTATTTATTCATCAAAATTAATGTTGTCCGCTGCAAAGTCATCCCCTCCACATATAATACACTTGCGCCAACGTTCTTTCCAATCCTCGAAGTACCCCTGGTAAGCACTTTCTGGTATAGCCTTGAATTTTTCCAGCGATTTTTTCTTTATTTCATCAATTGTTCCAATCCTCCTTCCATTCCAAAGGGACCATATGCGGTGAATATGGAGGCTAAGACATTATTCTAATTTTGTTTTGGGCCAAAAAGTTAGACACAAGCAACGATGAGTGAGCAGGTGCATTATCGTGATGCAAAATCCATGAATTGTTTTCCCACAATTCCGGATTTTTTCTTCATACTGCTTCTAGCAAACGGTGCATAACTTCAAGGGAATACTTTATATTGAAAGAAAATAGTCAGCAAAACCTTGACATTGGATCCAACTTGACGTGCTTTATTCGGTTGCTGACTTGCTGCCGAGTCGAGCATACAAAACACGTCCAACGCTTCTGTCCAAAAAAAAGTAAACCTGCAAACTGGATAAAACTGCGAACATATGTTAGGGGTATGTGTCCAACATAACAACAAAATTGCAACAGGTTTGTAGTGTTTAATAGCCTGCCCTCAAAACCGGCCAGATTTTAGTTTTTTCCGTATCTCTGCATAAAGCTTACCATTTAAAATATGATTGAATGTAACCAGAAGCGGCTCAATAAATGAAACTGAGGATTTTAAGAATACACTTGAAATGAACTTTACTAAACCACGAGCAGTACTAAACTCAGATTATCAAATATTGACTCAGTGGCGAATTCTAGCTTGCATGGTGAAAGTTCAAATCAAACTAAATTAACTACATTAATTACAAACTAATATGTAAATACTTTCAATAAACAAACAAACGCGTAACGTATAACCAAAAAGAAACAACAGTAGGATAGTATAATTATTTGAATCAGTCAAAACTGAGAGTTACTCCAGAACAACAAACGCAAGCAAACACACACAAACACACAAATAACCAGACAAACAAACTCCCTCGCTCCCCCGACAGAGACGGTACGAATAGCATCCACACATATTTAGTTCAGAGAAGCGTCACTGAATATGGGTAGGACCGAAAAACTCATTCAAAACTCATCCTGAATAAACGTATTTTTAACATCCACTAAGGTCTTCCAATTTTATGAACAAATTTGTCTAAATGCAACTTATGACAATTTTACAACACTTGCTCATCTTCTGTAAATAAGATCGTATTCAGCATATGTCGACTATTAAAAATTGTTTTAGGGAACCAAAGCTTGCTGGGTCTAGATAATATGTACAGCTTTCTGTAAGTTGTCCTTAGGTGTTTTAATATTTAACTTATTCCAAACAATATGGAGTCACTAATCGTCCTCAAATTAATATGTCAATGCCAAATGCATTAGATTTTAAAGACTTTATTGCCTTCAGTATCTGTAACCTTAGAAAATGAAAATTACTCATTTTGCGATATATTCTCGTCTTTGATCATTGTTTATTGTTGAGCAAGCACCTAAAGATATAATAAATAAATAATGCCTACATTTTTACGAAATACATATACAGTCCGCCGCTGGGCGCAGATCAGTTTTCCAGGTGAGTTGTTATAGACATGGATTCTCGATTCGGTTTCGCATTTCAAAAGTGTTCTAAATTAAACCGTTTAAATAAACTTACACGCAGCATACTGCGGTCTGAACAATGCCATTCTTATCTAGGCAAATGAGGCGGAGTGCTATTTGGATTGAAATCTTTAACTCAAGCGTTTAAAGGCGTTACGTTTTTTTAAACCTTTTATGAATTTACATTTAAGAGGATAGCAAAACTGACTAATTCGAACTGAGAAGGATTAACTCCGTCTGGGGTAGGAATTAAATTGAAATTCGTCTCGTGGGAGTGGATTGATTCCATTATGCTAGAAGTGGAATTACAGGTAGGTGCTCGAGTGTGAATACAATTCAACAAGCAGCTCCGCAAATGCAGGTTTTTCCGTATTTGTACATCCTATCTACAGGGTTGCGCAAAGAACTATAAAAATAGTGCAAATGCTTAGTGTTCATGATTATTTTTTAAAAAAATTGTATATATTATTTTATATTCTTTTATTCTGAATCAGCGTAGTTAATTTGCAGATTACCAAAAATACTAGTGATTTTACATTATGCCCGGTAAATTTCGCACATTGACGGTTTTTCTAGATTGCCGATATTTTGGATAATCTGCAAATTGACTACGCTGATTTAGACAATGTGCAAAATGTCTGAGGCGTTCGTCAATCTCAGCATTAACAGAATATTATGCAACAAGTGTGGTAAACGGCATTAGAGTCAGCAGTTTATCTGACACGAGCGGAGCAAGTACTTAATAAACGAGTGACGAACATTAATTGATATGTGCGCCGTGATTTGCATCCGCGGCAAACAAAACTGACATAGTAAAATGACACTTTCCGCGAGCTAGAACTATGTATAATTTGTGAATCATAGCAGGGAGCGGAAAAAATAAAATAGTTTTGCAAAAGTTATATACATTATGCAGTAATAAGAATAACCTATACTGTTTCTAGGGCCGTTAATAGTAAATATTATTTATTGAGTATGGAGTGGCCAAGAGCACAAATAGACCAAAAACTGAAAGATACTGAAAAAAGTCTTTTTTTTAAGTTTGTCTTTTTAATTTAATTTAAAATCAGGTTCACAGTGCCTGACGTTTGTTTTTTATACACGTTTCGAAAAAAATGTAAAATTTGCTAAATAGCAACGTTGCCTTTTTTTACAGAAATTTCTAAAATTTTCACTATCACCTGTTTTATTCGATTGCACCTATCAAAATTGTGATGCATTTGTCAAAATAAAAACTTTAGGCTTTCAGAATAATAGACTCATATGGATTGCAGAGAATTGCCAATGTAATATTAGATAATAATGATTATGTTGAATAAAAGCCACATTACCAATATGGCTTTGTTTTAAGACCTACAAACCTTGTGCTCGCTTTTTTAAAGATAGCATAGGGTTTTCAATAACGCATTGCTGCTGAAGCATCGTTTTCATCATATCATTTTTTCATCTAGTTTACATCAGTAACGGATCTAGTTTGCTTAGTGACTTTATCATTTGAATATTTATTTATTTAGTACAAACCTTTTACAAACGTAACGATAAGAATAAGAATATCCTCTGCTCTAAAATCTTACTTTGAAAAATACGTCAAAATTATGAAATGGACAATCAAATAATATAAGGTTATAATAACGTATTTTGAAATTTAAAACAACAGTTTTAACATTTCATGTTTAAGCTGTAAAAAGAACACGTTGCACTTTATTCAATTTATATTTTTGTATTTTGTTTTGGTACCCGGTGCAAAAAAATAAACTGAAACTTCAGTCAAGCTCTGAAGAAGCCAACAGGGTGATTGGCGAAACGTTAGCTAGTTCGACTCAATAAAAACATACTCAGGAGGAATCAAGAAGTTTTATAAAAAGTATTGCAGTAGCCTGTGGAAGTTTCTTTGAGAAAAACTTTTATAAAGAATGTCTTTTTTTCTTATCTTTCACTTTTTCTATTCTATATAAGATATAGATTTCTATGCCTTATTTTACTTTAAATGTGTTTTTTATGGCAATATATTTTTAAAAAACAACTGACAAATTATTTAGTTTTCAACATTATTTCTCATAAATATTCTTATTCCAATATAATTTAAATTACCAAGACAGAATTTATTAGATTTTATTTAAAACTTATTTAAATAATAATTATCTAAATAATAGATACTTATTTATAAAAGAAGAGTATAATAAAAATGTTCTTATTGGTTATTGAGACAATATAAAAAAAAAACATTTTTTTTCTAAAATCTTGTCTTTTTAATTCGCCTCGTCATAAAAATAAAATTATCTGCTCACAGCTTTTTACGTTACGTAAAAAAAAAACAATAAAAAATGTCATATGAGATAGAAAAATTTGAAATTTAAAAATTGTGGAAAAATATACTTTTTTGGCTTCACCTCGTCACACAAAGCAACAGCAGTAGGTCATTAATTATTTATTCTAACTTCCATCCATCTGTACCTTTGTGTCATTTTGCTACATAAGTAGGTTTGTTTTTCTCTCACGGAAGTATCTATAAAAAGGTTTTTTCCCAACTTTGACAGCTAATATCTCATAAATTATGAATATAAACTTAATATATATAGGATGTTTAAAAAAAAACAAATACTATAATATATTAAAACGTCAATAAATTCGGTGAACCCTTTTTTCCCATGTATTTCGTGAGGTGGTCTTTTGATAATAAAACAATAATTTATTTCAGATGAAAGAATAACAATTTACCACGAGGGACCGTGCGTTCCCGGGGTGTGTAGGGGGGAGACGGCATGCAAGTATTACGTCAACAATAACACCTACACGTGCTTGTGTACCCACGATTCCCGCCCACCTACAAAAAATGGTACCTGTCCTAGAAGAATAGGTAAGATTTTAATTCAATTTTACATATATCCACGCCGAAACAAGAAAAAAACAACAATCGTTATAAAAATGTTCGTTCATGTAGTTTGCCCTGTATATTTTAAATTTAAATTTGTCGCGTGCGTGTCGATAATGGAGATTCCGGTTATGTTTTCTGTTGTATGGAATAGTGATCCGTATGGTACTCTTGCCCTAAATAAAGTTAAATGAATGTAATTTTAAAGTTTAGTGATCTTAATACCGTCAGTTTTCAAAAGTAGTAAAGGAAGCTCGTGGTGATTCGGTAATATATTTTTCTACTCCCGTCTGTAAAATACCAAATTACCCACCGATCTAGCGTGCGGGAAGTGTCACTTTACCAAGTCAGTTTCGTTTCCCATGAATCCGAGCCGCTTTGGACATTTCCGGGATTTTACCGCACGGATTTGGGAGAAATCGGATGTTTTCGGAGATATTTCCCACGCTTTGAATTTTGACGTTTGTCAATTCTGACGGTCATGTCAGTGAATGTATTCGTGTCGTTTTGCGAAAATGGACCCAAAAACTAACGGTCGTAGAAAAAGTATAGTATGCAACACGTTCGGTAAACTTTTTAACTCACTCGTTTATTAAAAACTCGCTCCGCTCTTGTCAAATAACCTCGTGAGTCAAATGCCGTTTACCACACTTGTTGCATAATATACTATTCATGTACCGCTTGGAAGGACACCTTATCTCAGTTATTTGGATTTTGAAACGTATTATAACATAAAATATTATACAATCCTACTTAAGAACTTTACACTCTCGTAAAATCTTTGTTTATGGTTCGATGTTGATGATTTGTTGGATAGATCTCTAAAAAATACACTAAAATTCGTGTTTTCTTATTGCTTCAACCTAAAGTCATGGCCCACTGGGACTATTTAATAAGAGAGAGAGAGAGAGAGAGAAAAGAGCAGTTCTATTATGGATTTTTTAAAGAATTCATATTCAGGAATACTTAGAAGCCAATCTGTATTATGTTTGAATACAGGGTGTTTGAAATGTCGTTTGTGCCCCGCTTAAGGCTGTACATCCTTGTAACATCGTTGTTTATGGTTTGATACTATTTTTTTTGTTGAGTAGATTTCCCAAAAACGCACTAAAACCTTTTGTTGCTTACCGCGTCAAACTGAAGTTATAAACAACCGGAACCATTTTTGATGCCAAATATCGATTAAAGAACTAAAGGACTTCTTTAAGATTATTATCCAATGTTTGTTTATGGCTCAATTTTGGTCAATCTGGTTTTGTTGGATAGATATTACTAAAAGCCTCTCAAACAGTTTTTTTTCATATAGCATCGACTAAAGTCATGGCCGACTGACACAATTTTTTGAAGTTGAAAATGAAGAGGTACTTTTAGGGATTTTTAAAATTAAAAATGACAACAGATTCAGGACTACCTAAGAGTTACTAGACCAGTGACCAAAGTTTTTGACAATTATAAAAATAATGATAAAAAAGGACTTGAGACATTTTTTAAGGGTCATTTATTTTTTAGTATCATCTTAAAGCAACAGCGCTAATAAATCTATAGTATTAAAAAGGTATAATGTAGATACTAACTAATTCTCTTAAACGACTGATAAATTCTGAAATTCGGAAAAGTTCAAAAATTCGATTGAATTGAGTTTTTTCTTCATTGATACCGCTAACATTTCTTGGTTGAACATTGAAGGTAACATTTTTAAATAGCTACATGAGATATATTTTGGATTTTAGAATGTAGAAAGCTTTGTGAAATGCTGTAAACTGCTGGTATCTTAATCTAATCTTAATTTTTTTCTTTGACGGTTGAAGATGTTGAAAGATTTTTGAATAAGTAGTAAATCTGGTTCTGATGTTATATTTCTTAAAATTTTTGATGTGCTCAGTGATGTTCTGAAGGTAAGAACTACAACAGTAGCAAGTGTGCTTCCGCACTCTTTTTCTTTGGAAGATTGTGGTGAAATGTATTTTGTGATGTAACGCTCAATCTTTCTATTGCGGAAATAATTAGAGAGGGTAGCTGATGAAAGGTGTTTTAATTCTACAGTGACTCAAGATGAGATAGTTTTACAGCTCTCTAAACAAGAGAGTTAAGAACCGATGATTTCTGGGTCAGATAGTGATGTGACAATGCATGTATGCGTAAGTTTCCTGAACATGGTATGACCCAATGTTAGTTCTGATTGTCTATTAATAAAATCTCTAAGAATACGTTTCAATACGTTTTATAATTCGCTATATCTCTTCAATTAAATTAAGGAAAAAAGTAGTTTCGGTAGATCCTTGGAAGATGGGAGAGCATATGCAGTATAGTATAACAAAAATAAGTAACCAATAGCAAATGAAATTTTTGAAAGCACGAAGTTGTTTAAAACAAATAACAAATTAAATAGTAGTTACCATTTTTTTCTATGCATTTTTTAATTAGCCATTGAATGTTGCTAACTACTTTACTTAGCTTGTGTCTAGTGATGCTACGACAAGCTTCTCTAATTCGAATAAAAAGACTTTTTTTGTTTGCGGTTGTGATTAAAAAGCTTTACATTTTAATTTTTAATTTTTCTAAAAATCGGAGAAAATTTTACCCGTTCAAAGTAGGGCCAATTATTTTTTCGTTTAAAATCCCACATCAGGCGTTCACTTGAGTAGAATACTTGCACTTAATCACTCAGCGGGGATTTTCTTCTCTCCACATGCTAATATTCTGAAATGAAACTGTGCCCACTTGTCAAAAATGTTTTTATGGATAGACATAAAGTACGCAGGAATTTGGGTTTAAAGGCATCTTTCCAGATGCAGTTTTTGCAAATATTATCGACATTCCCGTTCTGACCAAAATGCCTGTTGATATTCGCAACTGTACTGCGATGATTAATATTTAGTCCAGCTTCACGAAAAGATATGGCACCATTGCTAACTAGACATAGGATGGGAAAGATAAATTAACCATAGTTGCTTACTAAACAAAAAAATGGTAACTACTATTTAATTTGTTATTTGTTTTAAACAACTTCGTGCTTTCAAAAATTTCATTTGCTATTGGTTACTTATTTTTGTTATACTATACTGCATATGCTCTCCCATCTTCCAAGGATCTACCGAAACTACTTTTTTCCTTAATTTAATTGAAGAGATATAGCGAATTATAAAACGTATTGAAACGTATTCTTAGAGATTTTATTAATAGACAATCAGAACTAACATTGGGTCATACCATGTTCAGGAAACTTACGCATACATGCATTGTCACATCACTATCTGACCCAGAAATCATCGGTTCTTAACTCTCTTGTTTAGAGAGCTGTAAAACTATCTCATCTTGAGTCACTGTAGAATTAAAACACCTTTCATCAGCTACCCTCTCTAATTATTTCCGCAATAGAAAGATTGAGCGTTACATCACAAAATACATTTCACCACAATCTTCCAAAGAAAAAGAGTGCGGAAGCACACTTGCTACTGTTGTAGTTCTTACCTTCAGAACATCACTGAGCACATCAAAAATTTTAAGAAATATAACATCAGAACCAGATTTACTACTTATTCAAAAATCTTTCAACATCTTCAACCGTCAAAGAAAAAAATTAAGATTAGATTAAGATACCAGCAGTTTACAGCATTTCACAAAGCTTTCTACATTCTAAAATCCAAAATATATCTCATGTAGCTATTTAAAAATGTTACCTTCAATGTTCAACCAAGAAATGTTAGCGGTATCAATGAAGAAAAAACTCAATTCAATCGAATTTTTGAACTTTTCCGAATTTCAGAATTTATCAGTCGTTTAAGAGAATTAGTTAGTATCTACATTATACCTTTTTAATACTATAGATTTATTAGCGCTGTTGCTTTAAGATGATACTAAAAAATAAATGACCCTTAAAAAATGTCTCAAGTCCTTTTTTATCATTATTTTTATAATTGTCAAAAACTTTGGTCACTGGTCTAGTAGCTCTTAGGTAGTCCTGAATCTGTTGTCATTTTTAATTTTAAAAATCCCTAAAAGTGCCTCTTAATTTTCAACTTCAAAAAATTGTGTCAGTCGGCCATGACTTTAGTCGATGCTATATGAAAAAAAAACTGTTTGAGAGGCTTTTAGTAATATCTATCCAACAAAACCAGATTGACCAAAATTGAGCCATAAACAAACATTGGATAATAATCTTAAAGAAGTTCTTTAGTCCTTTAATCGATATTCGGCATCAAAAATGGTTCCGGTTTGACGCGGTAAGCAACAAAAGGTTTTAGTGCGTTCTTGGGAAATCTACCCAACCAAAAAAAATTAGTATCAAACCATAAACAACGATGTTACTAGGATGTACAGCCTTAAGCAGGACACAAACGATATTTCAAACACCCTGTATTGAAACATAATACAGATTGGCTTCTAAGTATTCCTGAATATGAATTCTTTAAAAAATCCATAATAGAACTGCTCTTTTCTCTCTCTCTCTCTCTCTCTTATTAAATAGTCCCAGTGGGCCATGACTTTAGGTTGAAGCAATAAGAAAACACGAATTTTAGTGCATTTTTTAGAGATCTATCCAACAAATCATCAACATCGAACCATAAACAAAGATTTTACGAGAGTGTACAGTTCTTAAGTAGGATTGTATAATATTTTATGTTATAATACGTTTCAAAATCCAAATAACTGAGATAAGGTGTCCCTCCAAGCGGTACATGAATAGTATATTATGCAACAAGTGTGGTAAACGGCATTTGACTCAAGAGGTTATTTGACACGAGCGGAGCGAGTTTTTAATAAATGAGTGAGTTAAAAAGTTTACCGAACGTGTTGCATACTGTACTTTTTCTACGACCGTTAGTTTTTGGGTCCATTTTCGGAAAACGACACGAATACATTCACTGACATGACCGTCAGAATTGACAAACGTCAAAATTCAAAGCGTTAATATAGCGTTGAAATAGCAGTCTTTAATCAGTTAGATCGCCGCCCCGTCAGTTATAAGGTCAAGAGAAGATCAT